ATGAAACCTATAAAAGATGTCTCCAGTTTGATTTTCAGTCGTTCCTTTGGTGTTGGCATGTAGTTGGTTCCACAATGAATAAACATCACTGTGAGGCCGCTAGAACGTGTCCATATATAGCTTCAGACGACGCGGAGCAGAGAAGGATCTTTCACAAGAAACACTACCAACTGGTGTAGTGGGGAAAATTTTGAAGACTTTGCAGAGTGCTGAGAACTATTTTCACGCCCGTGGACCAACCAGTTTCTCGGCCACGAAAATGGCACACGATTGCAAGTGACTACAATCAAAATGACTGGGGCTAAAGAAAACAAATCCATCCACAGACTTGATTTGTCTGGCTCGACAGGTCCAGGGGGGCAGCTCCTTCCCCCCTGCTAGCTACGGTGCTGAAATTATTGACATAAATTTCTTCCCAACTATTTTGAGATGAATATTTCCCTCCTAGTATAAGCCTAGCCGATTTTGAGAGGGAATTTCCCTCCGTATATAAGCCTTTCAAAAAGGGCCTTTGAAAAATATAGTCACCGGGGCATATATTCGGAATTTTACGGTATACCATTTATGATCTGTGAACCGGTTATAATTCAGTATTTTCTTGACAAAATGACCTCTTGCATGAGTAACTTAACAGTTTTAATCCAAAGGTAAAGTACAACAGTAACATTTACCGCCAGATCATGCATTACCAAAGCCAGACGTCTCTTGGTAAAGGTTATGTAGCGCTAATCCTAAACTAAAATAGTAAAGTGAGAAAGTTAGTTCCTTACTATGACAAAAATAAACAGAAAAATAAGCAAATAAATAAATAGGTTACACCAAGAAAGACAAGCTGAAAGTAACAAGTAATAGTATAACAGTACGTTAAGAAAGTTAGTTCCTTACTATGACAAAAATAAACAGAACAATAAGCAAATAAATAAATAGGTTACACCAAGAAAGACAAGCTGAAAGTAACAAGTAATAGTATAACAGTACGTTAAGTATATAGGGGCGGTTCAGAAGTGATAATTATTTAGAAAGAAATAACACAGGAAGATTGCTCCGTTCTTTAATCGTTATTTCTGAAAGACCGAAACGATGGTTATTAAGTCAGTAATTCAGCGGGTTGATCCGATCGCTTCTAGAATTGAAAATCCAACAATTTTTTTTGTAGTATATAACGGCAGGAAATCGAATGGCTAACAAATGAAAAACGCAGTTTCTTTCAGGAACGAAGTCGACATCTAAAATTGGAACCAACCAGATTGTGTAGACGTGTTTACTATAGTTGTAGCTTTCGCCTTGATTGGGAAAGACTCCCAGCTGTCATGTTGCCATTACCATAAAAGGTCCAAAGCAGGACATTACCGTTTATTGTTCGCACCATGTAAGGGAATCTTGCTTGTGGAATCAGGAATCCTGGGCTTTTAGAATCCACAATACCACTCAAGGAATCCGGAATCCCACCAACGATTGGAACCCAGAATCCTAGTTCCACTGACAAAGACTGGCATCCAGTACCTGGAATCCGGAATCCAAGACTGCCTTGAATTCCCTTACATGGGTATGGGGCTATATTGTTTTGGAAATTTTTTGAAGCAATGTGGAGAATGCAAAGACAGTTTATGTTTTATTTTGTCTCTTCCTCTTGTTCTCCTCTCTTGCGTCAACAGGTGCGTTTTATGGAGGTGGAGGAGTAGGAAAATGACCTTGCATATATAAGGCAGGATATTTTCAATCATATTCAATTAATTTTTTGTTATCAAGATGCAGTACAGCGTGGCTATCGTAGTTGTATTAAATGAATCCTCAAAATAGCAGTAGTTTTAGCTTCAAGATACTTTGTTTTTAGCTCAGCCACAAAAACGTACTTTCATCAAATCTGACAAAAACAAAGCGCTGGAAACGGCAGGAGCCCACGAGCACTTTCCTTGTGCCCATACAATAGCATTCTTCACAGGCAGGTGTATATAAGATCGATTTTCCTACGAATTTTTAATATAACAATGAAATGTCTTACAAATCAGTCATCAAAAACCGGAGACTAAAAGATAGTATTTCTGGTGTTTTGATAGCATTTACTTCTTTTTGTAGTTATCGTGCTATGGATGCGCACGCATAACGTACGATGCCTCAAATTTCGCAGGAAAAATTGCTCAAAAATGATACTAAAAATAACTTGATCTGTGAAAACGCCGTTGCACGAATTTATGGCAGTTGCACCCTCTGGCTCATTGGGCTCCTGCTAAAACCAGCTTTCATGTTTAACACCCCATTCGACCATGGACAAATATAAGGAAAGCATTAGGGTTTTTTATTCTTTGTAAATTTAGTTGAAAACTGAATAAAACTTAATCTTAACCTGTCTTTGTTTTAGTACGCATCCGACTACTTCGAGTCGTTATTACTCCCTCAGTAACGACGTTGTTGAGAGGAGAAAACGACTCGAAGCAATCGGATGAATTTCAGGCTACTCGTATCCATGATCTACTGCGTAGACTCCCAACCGTCACGTGATGAAGAATGGCCCAAAAGGAGGGAAGAAATGAAAAGTGGAATATTCCTGTGAAGGAATACAAGATTTTTCATTGATGATGAAAGAATCCATTTTTATCTCTGGCATTTAACAGCATGATATTGCAATTTGCACTTAGACTTTTAGAAAAGCAAAAGGATTGACAAGCATTTCTTTTTATATAAAACTCACATTCAAATCCAATCTCAGACGCACAAAACACGCTCCACCCTGTTCTGTACAAGTTTCCGAGGGAAAATATCACAACGGAGACAATATTTTTTTGACCGAAGTGATATATGATGCAGAAAATAAAAGTACTCAATTTCAGCATTACTTAAGGTTGATTATCGATACGCACACCATTGAAACACTTCCAAGTCCAAGAGTACTTGAAAAAGTGGTGTGTTCACGTTGCTGTGCAACGAGTGAAGTCCTCGGGCACCTGTTAGCCTGCGTAGCATGGCGGTTTTGGTTGGGTGCGCAAAGTAAATAAAAGCGGGCTAGGGCAGAGAAACCGCGAGGAGATTTGGGCCTCGCGGCTTGGCCTCTCGTTGGCGCTCGCTTTGCCCGCGTTTTTGTGGCTTCGCCGCTCAGTAGTGCTCTCAAAAAAACCGCCATGCTACACAGGCTAGGCACCTGCAAGCCGTGAACACAGCCTTAGCAACACTCGTCAAGATCATCAAAACCACTGTAAAGGCACTGAACTCACTTTCTGTGTACTAGTCAAACAACATAAAATCCAGGCTGGTCACCACCGTAATTTGGACTTTTTCTACGTACAACGACCGAATGCTTCCACCCACGCCAGAAGCGTCTCAAATGGTTTTCACTGTGCTTGATAAGCCTCTTTGGTTAATTTGGAGTTGCTCCAAAAACTATTTATCTGTTCCGATGTCTTGGGGGAACTGTGGTTGTCACAAAAGTCTTAGGTGGCTTTTTCGTCTCATCCGAAAGTGTTAGCTACCCTTATGGGTCCGGTCGTAAGTTTGAGGACATGAAGTAGCCTTGCTTTCATTAGAAAATTATAAGGGACGTATTGTCTCTATACCTAAATTTTTAGGAGACCTCTTTGAACAATGATCGTAATATCTTGGTATTAAAAAGGGCAATAGCACAACTTCCGAAAATAGTAGAAAGCTATTAGAAAACCTCCGGATATCTTAGACGAATGGAACGGTTATCCAGAAATTTTAAGCTTTTCTCAAGCTTTAGAAATTTCTAGACAATATTTGCTCCTTCGAACAGTTATTGTGCAGAAAAAAGTCGCCGGGTGCCCCTGTGTATAAGCCCGACCATTCGCAGCCTACTTCCCAACCCACCAGAGAGACAAAACCGAAGGCAATTTTTTGGCTCTCTTTTTGTGTGTGTTTTATTTGACTGGGGAAAGAATTGGAGTTTTGGAGAGGTAAGGTGGGAGGTGTATAGAGACTCAGGATAGTCAGCATTCCACTGTCTAGGAAGTCCAAACCAAAGATCTTCTCATAAAAAAGCTCATTTCTTAAGTGACACCACTTGTACGTTTGACATTTTTAAGGCGATCATTGTTTCTCCATCAGCAATGACTGCAAGATCTCAATGCTGTGTAATAGTGTGTGTATAAAATGGTGATAAAATCTGACATGATGACGTGAACTTCCGTTACCCTTAAAACGGTCACGCACGCATTCTACCACGTTTTCGACACAAAAAAAGATTATGGCCGATGAAAAGATGGCGATAGTTATAGACAACAGCTCTTGTACTACAAGGGTTGGTTTTGGTGGAGAAGATACCCCACACGTAACGTTTCCGTCTATCGTTGGTCATCCTAAACACTATGACCCGAGGGTTGGCAAAAGTTGGCTACACTGCTCCATCGGCGACGACGCACTCGCGAAGAGGAATGATCTGGATTTGTTATATCCTATCAAAAATGGCATCGTAACAGACTGGGATGAGATGCACTGGGTAATGAAGCTTTTTGAAAAAGAGTTAGAGGAGCTGTGGCACGAACTCAGTAATCTCAAACAGTGGGAACCGTCACCAAACTGAGTGACGAATTAAATAACTGCTCAAAACATGAAAAGAAGACCTATTAACACAGCAAATAAAAACAGGAGAAACGTATGGGGAAACTTGAAGAAGATTGAAACGGATTAGTTGTTGTGGTTTTCGAACACTTCTAAGCCTTACAGTCTTTTGTTGTTTGTATCGTTTCATATGATGCTTGGGAGACATGTTTGACACGGAGCTGTAATTTTGCCATTCACAAGTTATTTCGAAAGTTCCATGGCGACTAAAGAAGTGTAATTGGCAATATTAACAAAATGAACAAGACAACCGTGACACAGCCCCTTTAATTTCTTGGCGTAGATTATTGTAGACTTATTTTAACATGCATGGCTTTGTTATCTACGATGCAGATTTGGGATCATATTTTTAACAAGGCGTTTGCTGCAGAAACCAAGGGCAGTCCCGTTCTACTGTCAGAGCCCCCTTTGAGTCCAAAAGCTAACAGAGAAAAGACTACTGAGGTAAAAACCATGATCATGTATATAGTCTGAAATGTCACACGTCTCCACCCCGTGGAGACGTGTGACATTTCAGACTAGATCATGTCTCTACTTGTCTTATAAATGTATATGAGGACTCCAATCAAATTATTCCGGGTTCTATTTAGCCCGGATATTGGGCAAACGTCAACATAAACAAGAAATATAAATAAATATAAGTCAGACCGCTCATGTTTGAAAATTCAATGATAAATTGCTATGGATCTGCGTGACGCAAACGTACGGCATTATCATCACACAATCTATCCCTCATGAGCTTGAAGACTGCGTGACAAGCCTATATAAAACTACAAAAAGCCATCTCTCAACAATGGCCCTAAACGCAAATTAGAACGCACTCTTTTAAAGTGATGTACCTCCTCCCTCAAGGGTTCTTGAACTAAAAAGTACTTGTTATTCACGCCACCCTTGCAGATTCTCTTTCCTGTCCAATTCTCTTCTTTTTCCATTTTCAAATAAAATGAACAGTTACTAAAACAATACTACACGTTTATCATACTCGAAATCAACATTATTGTTAGTTTTAAGGGAACCTGTTTTAGAGGACACGTTTTGTTTTAAAAGAGATCACTAGAGCATTTCAGGGTGTCTGAGAAGTACAGGTTCTAATTTATTTATTTATTTATTCATCATTATTATTATCTATTGAAAACAAAGTTTGAATATGTATCCCTTTCTGTGATCAGGTTATGTTCGAGACATTTGATGTGCCAGCTTTGTACATGGCAACTCAGCAAGTGTTAGCACTCTACTCTGCTGGTCGTACAACTGGTCTTGTATTTGACATCGGAGATGGTGTCAGTCATGCAGTTCCAGTAGATGGAGGTTACTCTCTTCCACGTGCTATTGTTCGCCTTGAATTGGCTGGTAGACACGTGACCGACCACCTTGGAAGTCTACTGAAACATCAGGGTTGCTCATTTACAACCACAGATGAGTTAGAGATACTGCGCAAAATTAAAGAACAATTTTGCTACGTTGCTACAGACTTTGAGCTTGAACTCAGCACTGCTGATTCCAACACAACAAGCTATGAACTTCCTGATGGTCACTGTGTTGATGTCGGTTCTGAGAGATTCCAGGCACCTGAGTGTTTGTTCAAGCCTTCCCTAATTGGAAAGCCAGATATGCCAGGAATTCACAAGATCACTGTCGATGCTATTAGAAAATGTGGTGTTGAATTGCTTGCAGATTTGTTTCGAGGCATAGTGCTGACCGGAGGCTCGAGTTTGTTCTCTGGGATACAGAAGAGGATGGAGAAAGAAATACAGTCTCTGGAAGTTTCACTTACTAGAGCTCGAGTCAGTGCCACTCCTGAATGTCAACTGGCTTCATGGATTGGAGGCTCAATCCTGGCCTCAGTCACATCATCCTCCAAAGACATGTGGATTTCAAAAGAAGAATACGATGAGACTGGTCCGACTATTGTTCATCTTAAATGCTTCCAATGACCAAATTTTGCTTTTATATCGCTGTATCAACCCTTGAGTTTTTCAGTGCTGTTCTAATTAGCAGGAGAGGTAAGGGATGGCATGTGAACTGGGTGGCGGAAATTAAAAATTGTTTATAGCATGTATCTGGAGATATAATGAAGTAAAGGTAAAAGTGTACAGTATATGAACAACATACCGTAAAATTCTGAAAATAAGCCCCTGGGCTTATATTTTTCAAAGGCCCTTTTTGAGGGGCTTATTTTTGGAGGGGCTAATATTCGGAGGGGCTTATCTACGGAGGGAAATTTGCGTTTCAAAATCGATAGGGCTTTCCTTATAGTTGGAAAGAAAATTACCATTTTTTCTTTGTTTTGCTTTGTATTTGAGGGCAACTTCCAAGTACAAGCCCTTGGCGGGGCTTATATTCAGAGGGGCGATTTAACAGAGGGTTTTTTGTGTTACAAGTTTGGGGGGCTTATGTGGAGGGGCTTATTTTCGGAATTTTACACTAGTTTGTCATATGCACATACTTGGAATTTTCCAAGTAAACAGACAGATAACAGCCTTGTTAATTAGCAGTTTAGCCAAATACTGTCTTGAAATTGTCAAATCTTCCTCTTTCATGCCAATGTTATGCAAGAGTAAAACAGACTGTCTAACATACCACACAACAAAAATGTCTCTAATAGTCCTTGATGATCACCTTGTTCCATCACAAACAAAGCCCAAACTCTCAGAGTCCACTGAACTTTGTTATGTAATCTTGGTGTTGTGATGGCATCGTTTTGAAATAGTAAGAATTTGCATGGAGGAAAAACATGTGAATCTTACAGTAAAATTAAAAATGTTATTATCATTCTTTTTAAACAAATATGGCTTACCTAAAGTCTTTTGTTGGTCTTTTTATGTTTTACAAATCCCTATATTTTCGCTATTATGCAATGTTCTCATGACACTCAGATTACCTTACAAGGTTCAATAGACTCAATTGAGCTCTGGCTAACTGTGGGTCCATAGAAACAGAATCTTTACTGGTCTGTTACACCCGTGGCCAGAGTGTGGGTGATCCTGTAGCTGGACAACATTAATTCAAGCAGTGTAGCTTGGCGCCGTATTCATTACTCTTTCTTGACATCTCGATGTTCTTTCGTTACCGGTACACTGTTATAGTGAATCAGAATCAAGCCTGTTAGGATCAGAGATGTGCCTAACCACCATCTCATGGTCAAGGCCTCACCAAACAGCAAACAACCCAACAGGGCCTGCAAGAGATAATCCACCTTTAGCAACTCTGCTCTTATATGACTTAAGTTTAAACAACAGATTGGAACTATTTTATGATCTTTCAAGATAGAAAGCAACACTGCCAGAGTGCAATTACCACATGAAAGTAAATGATGTGACCCTTCATTTCACATCACTTACATCTTAGATATGTTCAGAAACATCTGCAAATAGCAGCTGATCATAAGTCAATAGGGCCATTTATACGAGGAAAAAATAGGACGCGTCTTACATAAGACGCGAACTGTACCATTTATACAAGCATGTCTTATCTAAGACGAGAAGAGCTCGTATAATATAAATGGTTCGCGTCTTATTTCTGTTCTTGACTTGTTTTCATGTGAATGTTGCCCGTAGCAACGACAATCCAACGTGGCGCGCCAAAAATTAACGCATGCATACTATGCGTTAGCGTCTTATGTAAGAAGCGAAGGTCATTTGTACGAAGTTTTTCTCGTCTTAGCTAAGACGCCTCTTATCTAAGAACAGGTGTTAAGGGCTGTTCTAAAATAAGACGCGTCTTAGCTAAGTCGCGTCTTATTTTAGACGAAATGTGCCGTTTATACGGGAAGTTCGCTTCTTATTTAAGACGCGTCCTATGTAAGACGCGTCTTATTTTTCCTTGTATAAATGGCCCTAATGTCCCGCTGACTAGATAATTTATAGCCTAATATCATGGGTGACGAATTAATTCTTTAATTTTGGCATGAAATTTCAGCGTTAATTCACAATTCCACATGTGAAGGTACAAAACTGCCACGGCAACCTTCCGTAGGTCTCGTTACGGTGCCAAGATGTCGCCAAAGTTTAATTTTATAAATGAAGATGTCATGGCATTAAAAGACACTTAAGAAAACCTAAACATGCGAAAGAGCATATCATGAAGGATTCTAACAGGTATTTCGTCAAAAAATTAAGTAAATTCTGAACTCAGGTTAAATTTAAGCTCTAATCTTTTGACAGCATGAAGTTCTCAATCGCCAAATATGATAAAACCAGGATAAACTTGTCAAAAATCCATGATTTGGAATGTAATTCGTCACCCATGATATACTGAAATAGGTAATCAAATGGTATACTCGAGAAATTAGGAAGAATTTTATTTACATTTTGTCCAAATCCTAATAATTTAATCCTAAATTATTAGGATTTGGACAAAACGTGAGTGAAATTGAAAATTTGCCGGTACTGAAAATTCTCCTCTACGATAGAACAGATTCAGTTGAGTACATGTAATGATTAAATATACCACCAATATTTATTTTAGAAGTAATACTTTACAAAGCTCTTTAGAGGTACCACAACAGAAGTTCTGAAACATTGTGAAAGATAATGGAACTTACAAACATTTTGGGAGTTAATAAATTAAGCAGATGCTTTTGTTTCATAAATTGAAGGAGTATATTATCATATATAAGAAATAAAAATGATATTCACTTCATTAATAAATTTCAATCTGAATAGCCACTTCCTGTTCTTTTTTATTTCTTGGCTGGCTTTTCAAAAAATTCTGTCTTTCTTCTTGGGCAGTTAAAGTTAACCGCTACTCTGTCCTTATTAAACTGTCCTTTACATAAAGGATTCATGCATAAAATTACAAACCAGCTATCCCTGTCTAAATTCTGATGGCTGGATTCCTCCTGATTTATATCATTAATAATGGTTTTCCAAATAACATAACATGTAAGATTGCAGTACTTACAGTGCAGATAAAATTTGAGCCTGTATTTATCACTGTTGCTGTTGCTGAAGATGAGGAGCCTCTTAGAGACTTAACAAACAGTGTCCACATCAACGCATTGAAAAAGAACACCAGAAGAAAAGATAACACTCTTGAAATTATGACAATCTGAAAATAGATTAAAACAATTTCATATACAGGGATGTGCCACTGGACAGCGTATGGTTTTTACCCTCTCTGTCCTATAAAAACAGGGTATACAATTTCATGTGAGAATGTGTGTCCTAATAATTATAAACAGGGTATTGCCAGCATGATTGGGCGGGGGGAATCCGGGGACATAAGTGGGCATGGCGAGTGATTTGTCAACTTTGTTCATTAATTTTAAGCCTGGGATGGGAGGATTGGATTGCTTTTGCACTTTTGTAGCTGGATCCCCAGGTGAAGACCTGCGGAATTTGTAGTGCCACTGCCAGTTTGCAGAAAGCCTGCAGTGCAGGCGTATTTTGGGTGGGCGAAACCTTGCTCGTGTTCGTAATATTGTTGTAGCCGCCATCTTTGATTTTGTGACTGTGAAAATAGTAACCCTTACGGTAGGTGCGAGGGCGAAAGAAGGAAAGGGGGGAGGGGGAGGGGAGAAAAAAAATACGCCTGCCCGATATCATTGTTCTTATGGGATACTCCATACGCTGGCAAACGGAGCTCCTGATTGGTGCGGCATAGGGAAGTAGATTGATGCCTGTCAATTAACTGTAAGTCTGTATTGTTTATTCCGTTTCCGTCAGTCTTTAGGAATT